CCCCCCCCGGCCCCTTCTCTATCTATAAAACAAAAAGAAATGAGGGCAGGGGGGGGGCAGGGAAGATTTAGATTATATCTTGACTTATCTTAGACTAAACGGGCTTGAATGTGTCCCCCCACTTCCCTGTCTTCAATACATTAAAGGGACTGTTGGTGTAATTTCAAGTATCTATGGGATTGATATCTTTATCGGTGGATCTAACGCTAACAATGATGGCATAGATTGTAAACTAATTTGAAATTTGAATATAAGTAGGCTTCGCTCCAAGGGTGGAAATTGGTATAAAATGTATTGTACAGGGATTTTCAATAATAATGATTCCCAGTCCTAGATAAACGATTAACCCTGTTAAAGAAACTATTCTCTAAAAACTGATTTACCTCTATCTGTAGATCTAACACTAGCTATGAGAAGGGATCCATCCTCCAGAATCTGAATCCGACCAGAGAAACTAACCAAACCTCCTGAACAATATTAATTTAAATGCCAAAATCCACAAGAAAAATCACGGAGGAGAAAATGCGTTTTCATTTTAGGGTGTATTAGGCTTAGTAGCAATGACTATGTGGTCGGGTTGGGTTGCCGTGTGGCTGGGTAACTGTGTAGTAAGGTTACTTTGTGGTTGGGTTGCTGTGTGGCTAGCAGCTAGGTTTTTATGTGACTAGGTTCCTATGCGGTAGGGTTGGTATGTGATTCGGTTGCTGTGTGGCTAGGTTACTAGATGGATGGGTTGCTGTGTGGCTAGGTTACTATGTGGTTGGGATACTGTGTGGCTAGTTTACAATATGGTATGGTTGCTGTGTGGCTAGGTTACTATATGTTAAGGTTGCTGGTTGGGATACTGTGTGGCTAGGTTACTATATAGCAGGGTTGCTGGTTGGCTATATTCAGGGGGCGGGTCGGAAGAGAAACTTTGCTGCTATAAGTTGAAAAAGTTAAGTTGATCAAACCTAGTTCCGACCACGTTAGGTAAACATATAAAACTTTACAATCCCAGGGTTTAAAGAACCTTCTTTATATCTACAATATAAAATCTTACAAAGTAAAGGGTTGATATTGATCAGAAATGAGCCAAACCATCGGGATTTTTTTATTCTGTTGTAAATTTCCTTTCAAGAATGAGACTGTGCCCTGCAGAGATGTTTCGCCCATAAAATGTAGAATTAAATGAAACTAAGTGTTAAAATGCAGGAAATGCTGGCGCTTTGATTGCATAAATTTGCGCTTTACACTGAAATTCATTATCATTAAAGCATTTTTTAACGATCTGCATTCTTCCAAGTGCATTGGTAAATGATAGGGAAGTTGCATTAATAATCATACAATATTACCATTAAAGTGCCAGGTGACGTTGGGCGCAGGAGCTCCTTCAGCCTGACATGTTATTGTTGCATCCTTCCCGTCCAAAGCCGTCAAATTCGTCGGGGGGACGATAAACACTGGAACAGACGCTGAAACAAGTTTCAAATTTTATCAAACAATTTTTACAGAAAGAAAATGTTTGCAATATTTGAGAAAATCGAGTTAATTCAACAAATTACAGCGAGTTCAGCTTGAATCCCCCTAAGGGGTAAGAACCCCGATTTAATAGATAAATATTAGAAATAAAAGAGTTCGATAAAGTGAAAAGAAAAAATATTAAGAATAATCAAATATATAACTAATAAACCATAACCGAATATAAATTATTATGATATTTGCAACAGATTTTTTAATTATGCATTTCAGGCAAATTGATAATCTATATGTATATACTTTGCTTTTCTGTCTTGGTGTTTGTCTGTTTGTTTGTTTGTATCCAATAAACGTCAAAACGGCTGAAAATTTGTGTTAGTTTTTGTTTTAAATGTACGCAAAGAGAACATGTTCACAATTGAAATAGAAGATAGGCGCGAAGCGCCCTAAAAGCCGAGTAAAAAGAGAAATCTTCTTAATTCATAACGGATGTCTTTCTTTTTATTTGGTATGCCCCCCCCCCCCCGGCCCCTTCTCTATCTATAAAACAAAAAGAAATGAGGGCAGGGGGGGGGCAGGGAAGATTTAGATTATATCTTGACTTATCTTAGACTAAACGTGCTTGAATGTGTCCCCCCACTTCCCTGTCTTCAATACATTAAAGGGACTGTTGGTGTAATTTCAAGTATCTATCCTCTCCATTTATAAAGTATGATGTCCGATGTACAAGGTTGCCCTTACAAATTTTCTTCAAGAAATAACAGATGATAATATTTAAAATTAAAAAAATTTCACTTGTGGTTTCTTATAAAAAGTGACTTGCGGATTTTTGTTTTCAGAAGTAATGGAGACAATTGTAAGAATTCAACAATTCAAGCAATATCTTTCTCTCTAATGATTAGATAAAGGTTTAATATCGTTGTGAATCGAATATGCTTGTCTTTAAATGGAAGCTCATTTAAAATTACATTGAGAGTTCCTTTCAGTAAAGTTTTGAGATATAAATCCCGTGAATAAATGTATATTTCCGGTCTGGAATATATTTATAGCTTAAAATAATCCATCAAACTGGAACTCCTAAAATCCATCAAACTGTTTCCATTCTAAATATACCCTACCCTCTCAATACATCTGACCATCTTCCTAACACCATTAACACTCTCTACAAGTAGTTCTTTGGGCGTTACTGAAGGGATAAAGAGGGGGGGGGGGGAATGATAATTTTTGACCCGTCAGAATCAAAAATTTTGGCTTAAAAATTCAATAAAAAAATGGAAATTCACCTTATAAAAATCTGCGAAATTTTATATTTTTATGTAAAAACTTGTGAAGAAAAATAGCTGATGTTAAAACAACAATTATCAAAATAAAATATGTGTCACAAACTGTCTCCTGTAACCCCCTAAATGTACTAAGCAATAACGTGGGCTGAAAAAGTCATTAGTGTTTTGGGTGGGGCAGGGTATTGGTTGATTTCAACCCAATATCAGCTTTGGAGACACAACGACGGGCGGAGTAGGATATTGATGGTCTTTTTAGAAGATCATTCGTTAACTTTTTATACAGAGAGAAAAACTAAATTTAAGGTAGGTTTATAAAAAGTAATAAAAACCATCTGTTACGGTTTATTAAGCTCTAATCTAAGTACAACTCATAATTTATTTCTCTTAAACGGGTTCTACTTTAACACAGGGAAAGCTAGGAAACCAAAGGAAACAGGAAGGGGGATACTTAAAGAAAATTGTGCCTTTAGGCAATATCAAGATGGTATTGCACAGGGTTTAGAAGCAGTGATAATAGTTTTTAAAAAGTGTATGTTTTGAGGAGAAAACATAAAAGATTGTAGTGTTTCAAGAAAATAATAACAGTTCCTTGGAAAAAATATAATTATAAAAGTACCAGTCCCCTTATAAGATAATATTTGAAACAGAAACAGTCCCTGAAAGAAACATAATAAGAAAGCAGTAACAGTCCCTTTCAAGAAAATTAAAACAGTTTCTCAAAGAGATCCAATTATGAAAAACAAATCAGTCCCATTGATGGACAAAATTAGAAAAGAAACTTTCGTTTTAAAAAATTACAAAACGGTAACAGTCCCATTATTGCATACAATTTGAAAATACTTACTTTTAACCCTGAGCCAAGTATATCCGGTCACATATCCGCCCTCGTTAAATCCAGAACATTGGAACATTCCAGAATCCTCGCGTCTCATGTAACTAAATTCATTCAGATTCATTTTTAAGTGATTGTTCACAAATTTGAAAAGTTTAAAACAAAATTTAAGCTGATATTTACCTGATATATAAAGAATTGTTCTCCTGTACAGAATAACGTACTGCAGGGATCTGATCCAAAGGCTCCGCGTCTCTGTACCAAGTAATGTTGGGTTTGGGCTCTCCAGAAATCTCGCAAGGAATCTCAATCGCTTTCGAGAATTCACCCAATGTTTCGAAGTTCATCTTGTTCTCGAAGTATGGTTTTTCTAAAAAAAACTGTTATGGTGATTCCATCCTACCCCATTCCTTGCGTAATCCATTCCTTGCATTTATGCCCAGCTGACATACTTCCCCGGATTTTTTCGCGAAATCAATTTGCGGATTTGCTCCAGTGAATCTCCAATTGAGTGATCTCATGTCTTTTTTTCCCACCCTCTTGGTTGCGTGCACATGAATAGTGAAATCAAATGTCAAAGTTTCCATATCAAATTATTTGGGTGTGAAGCTGACTTGTGTAAAGTTGCATGTGCAAACATCATCGGAAGAAATGAAATAAAAATGACAGGAGCCTTCAATATTTAACCATCAATGCCGTTCAATATTTTGAATTTACGCTAGAAAACCTTTAAAATGAGCCCCTCCCTTACCCTCCCTCTCCACAACTAACAAAAATAATAAATTTGGGTAAAATTGTTAAAATATATTACCTATAACAGTGACTAGGGCGGAAGCAGAAAGGGTTGGTCCCCCTGTTCTCATTCTAGCCTTGCAGGTGTACACACCACGGTGCACGAAATCGGCCGACAACAGGCTCAGTGTTCGGTTCCAGAGATCATTAAAAGAGTAGGATATTCCAGAATCTTCTATAGGTTGACCGTCCTTTAACCAAACCAGCTCAAGCTCATACAGAGGACGTGCATTGGCGATGCATTGCAGCTCGGTGACCTGCGTGTGACGGATTATCGTCATGTTCTCTGGTGGGACGATAATCTCCGGAGAAACATCGGTCGAATCGTCCGAATCTACGATAAGCTGGATGTACGCAGAATTCTCCTCCTGTCCTAACTGCGTATTTGTAGCTCGAGCCCTAAAATGAAATCATTATTTTTGTGCGCATAGATTTTACAACTAGATAGCTTTAAAAGTTGTTTTAAGATTAAGGTTTAATGATCAGGAAAACTAACTGAACTGCGGAAGTTACCGTAAAAGGCAATTGTAAAATATCTTGATTTCTCATTATACAAAATATATATATTACTTACATATAGGATAAATAAATCTCGTTGTCGATATAAATTGGATGAAATAGATCTGAGGACAAGAAAAGGTAGACAGGCATATGCATCATGCATGGGGGATGAGAACAGGAGACCGGATGGCGGAAAAGGGAAGTTTCCCTAAAGACAGGAGGGGGTACACCCCTTCCAGGATACCAGAACCTTTTTCATTTTGAAACAAAAGAAAACTCAAAATATGCAATGTTTTCCCTTGAATCCGACAGAGTAACCAATTAATGCTCCTTAACTAGGGGAGGGGGGGGGGATGCGTGTTGTGCGTCACCTTTATAAAATCCAAAAACGCTTCTGTGAAATGTACTCATAAAGAGACAAAAGGATAAAAATAATTCTGATTTTGTTGCACCTGTATTGTTTTTGGTCTGAATCATCTACGCTGAGAATGATGAGTTTATTTTCCCGGGTTGTTGCGTACTTTGTCCCGTAGAGCAGGGCCAGGTCATCGCTCTGCCAACTGACCGAAGGTTCCGGCTCACTGGAAATGGCGGGAAACTCAAAAATGGCGGCATGTCCAGATTTGACTGTCAGCTGGGGATCTGGCTGCTCACTGAACGACGTCATAACTAAAACAAACGAAAAATTATAATCCTCATTTTCTTGAATTCAAATTGAAACACTGATTAAACTTTAAATGTTGGAACACTTTCCTATTTAATATTTAAAAGAAGAATAGAACTATTTCAAGGCTAGGCTTTGTCAGAATCCTAAACATAAGATGGAAATGGAATTTAATAATTCAGTTTTGATTTTAAACTTTCAACCAGGTTAGTGTGCAAAGCTTTACAATCAAGCGAGTAGGGGAATTAATTAGTGGTTTAATTAACTTATGGATGTCCAAATATCTTTACAATCAATTGTTGACTTTCAAAGAAAGTTCGTAATAATTTGAGGCCCGTTCTCAGTGGAAAAAACGTAGATATCTCCATCAGTAAAACTTGGATTTGAAGGATACAAATATAGTAACATGCTGACACTCTGGTATCACTTTAAATTACAAATGGCACTCCACTTTAATGAAGAAAAATTAACATTTGTGCAAGCTATGCCATCAGGTCCAAATGATGAAACTAAAATACCTCTTAATGCATTTAGATAAAAATAATTGCTTGCAGAAAAAAACAGGTTTGTCCTGTTAATGAGAGCAAATGAGTACTTAGCATATTTGGCAGTATATGTTGATCGGACTGTGTGGCTGGAACTGATTATTTGGATTCATCAACAAACAGTATTTCTCCAGAATATTACTGGTTTCAGTAATTAGTTCTCTGGGTCTATGATAATCCTTATCCAGTCCAAGATCAGAGCTCAGGGTTTAGAGAAAAACTTAGAATTTACGATGCTGTGTTGAAAACCCAACCCCCTCAATTGTTTAGTTCTTTTGTTCACAAAAAATTTCTCTTTCTTGGCTTAATTTTGTTTTAAGTAAAAAGGGAATATGAACCTTTATTCACATTTGTAAACTTTTTTAAACACTGAGAACCAAGAAAATGTATTTATTTATTCCAGATGCAAAATGACCAGTTTTAAACAATGCTTTTTATTTCTAATGTTTAATTTTAAAGGTGGAAAGTCTATTTTACTTTTGATAATATCTTACACTTGAGACATACCTCAGCAATAAGAATGAATATGCATTTTCAAGTTTTAATTTAAAAAGTTTCATCAAGTTCAACGACAACAGCTAACGTTATAAAAAAACTTAAAAGTAAAAAAAATTTCATATTAAATCAGGAAAAGTTCTTTACAATTATATTAAGATTGCAATACATTTTACAAAAATAACACAAACCACTTTAAACTTCGTGAAAGTAAACTAAAGTAAAGTAAAAATAAATTCAACTTGGTACACCTAGCTTTCCAAACTAATCTCAGAGATTAAACTAATTCATACTTGAACACTTACATAATTAGCAATAGGAATATCTATTTATTCAATGATAATAATAATAATAATAATAATAATAGTAATAAAAATAATAATAATAATAGTAATAATAATAATAATAATAATAATGATAATAATAATAATAACAGTAATAATCATAATATAATAATAATAATAATAATACTTACAAGCTACTGAGAGGGGGATGATCTCACTGATGATGCTCCCGACACTGTTCCTTGCAATGCACTGGTAGTTGCCGGTGTCCCCCCTGGAGATGGACTGGATCTTGTAGAAGGGTTCGGAGGAGAAGTCGGAGATATAATCTCCGTCCTTTAACCAACGGTATTGAGGTTGAGGATGACCTAAAAAGAAACAAAATTAAATGTTTTCTTAATTTAACAACAAGAGTTGAAAAGTTTCAGATCTATAAAAAGAAACTAAAATTTTCTAATCCCTTCTTTTTTAAACCTGATGGTGAAGGCCTTTGAAAAAACCAAATACCAAAGGTTTGTAACATAAAAATTGCAAAAATATTACGAATTAGAAAATTTGAAGAAATTATTCCCTTGAAAAAATAATTAAAACAATCAATTTAAGACACGAAAATGTGTGTGTGTGTGTGTACTGTGTGGGGACCGGGGGGGTGTATTTAAAATTCTTTCTTTGCATTAAGACCTCCTAGTTAGGCAAAAAAAGACATTTTCATTCTTAGGATTCAATTCTACCAATCCTAGTGATCAAAATACCGTGTAAATACCATAAACTATTCTATTGTTTGGAGTTCAAGAATTGAATTTCAATGATAAATGGACGCAGTAATCTCAACCAACAATTGGTCATTAACAGCAGGATATTTAATGTACACTGTGCACATGTACACAAATGACCCCATCCTCCTAGTTCCGGTTCAGTGCTGTCATAACAAATATTAATATTTGCAAAGTTTTGAGCAGGTTTAAACCTCTGGTATTATGATATTTACAATGAAAGATATATATTTTAAAACCGGTTTCCATTGTTATGGGTTTATTGGGAAAATGTTCTCAAATCTCATTTACTTTCAGGTTACGAAACTACCTGTACAAAAACTACTAAAACTCAACCTAGAGCTGTCTTACTACATTACCTAACAAGACCTAGACAATACGTCCTGTTCTACTGAGAACTTAAATACGTAATGTCATACTAAAAACCCAACTCCTATCCCTACCTAGAGCTAAGAAATAACTCCGTCCTATCCTACTCCTACCCCTACCTAGAGCTAAGAAATAACTCCGTCCTATCCAACTCCTACCCCTACCTAGAGCTTGACATTGAAGTATCTTGGTTCTGCCCTCTGCCACGATAGATCCTGATGCAGAAGGTTGAGTAATGAATCGAGGAGCTTGTAGACTATCTGAAAATATAAACAAAAATTAGATGTTTTAAATTTTCTAAAATCAATTCTGAAAGAAAAAAAACGTGTCTAGAAGTATGTTGATTGAAAAATAAACAATTTTTCAAATAATATTGTATTGAAAATGTTTGATAATACATTTGTCTGATTAACAAAACCAGCCCCCCCCCAATCCTATTTTACTTTTTGAACTAAGGAAACAAAAGGCGTTTTATAGATTTAAGAATTTAACTTTAAAAACATAGATCTTATCTATATTGTTATTAATGACATAGCAAGCTAATGAATCATTAAAAACTTGAATACGTTGTACAATGTACATGGTACATGTTACCTTTATCTACAGGATTTAAAGGCTATAAAATAGCCTCGAATTATAGATAATCATAGAAGATATACTTTTAAACCTTTTTTTTTAGTTTTAAATGAATTAAAAGGTTGTACAATAAAAGTTTATTAATACAGAAAGAACCAAACAGCAAACATATCTTCAGAATGTCCCATATCATATTGGATTATCTCCAAGCATCAACACCAAACTACTCACACACAATACTCGAAAAACCTAGTATATTCTGCATTCAAATTTTTATATCATAGCCTTTTACAACTTTTTAGAATGATTCACTCTTTATAAATTTTCTGATTAATCCCGAAAATCGTAATTTAGAGCTATATACGATTCAAAATGATGTGGGACACCCAGTACGTGAATTGTGTTCCTTATAATACTATTATACATGGGTTGGATGGGGCTCTGGACCCTGGTAGGAGAAGAGGGGCGTATTTTATAATTTAGTTCACTCTAGCGTACAAGTATAATATACGAGTAAATAACCAATCCAAGAATAAATCCGATTTTTAAGGATAATAAATTTAAACAAAAATATGAAGTTGGGACAATGACCTCTCAAAATATCAAAAATATAAACCTATTAAAGAGAAAACAGATGAGATATAAAGGCATACAAGAGAGGCAGCAAGCTAGAGCTAAAGATATAAGATATAATGATATGTCAACTCAACCCCTAATCCTCGAGTTTATCTACAAGGTGTCTCAAAAAATGTTAATTTCAAAATCCACTCTGTTTTTCTCATTCTCTTAAAATTGCAATGTTTTTGAAAGACTCCAAATTTTACATCTTTCTGAAATAGTTATTTAAGACATATATCAAGACAAGGATAAGACGAACCCAAGTTAAATTCAGCCTTCTGTCTTGTATTTGGTTTTTAAATGGCTTCTTTCATGATTTGGAAACGAAAGAAAAAGGTTGATAGTTGCAGGGAATCATAAATATAAAGAAACAGACAGATAAATTCCGTACAGTCGTCTCTGAAGTCTCATACGGTGAGGGTAATCTCGTATATTCGGACTCAGAACACAATAGAAAATAGAAAAAACATTGGCGCATAATTTTTTTGAGACACCCTAATCTACAACCTTTATAGCTCTGGACAGATTAGAGCCAGAGATTTAAAGAAAATATGGGATGTTACAATACTAAACTCCGGGATGTCATCTCATGTTATGTTGTCCATTTTTCATTACCATATCATCAGATGATATACATATACAGGGTTAGCCACGCAGAATTAGACTGTAAGGACGACCTATAAGTCTATAGTTTAAATTAAGTCTTCTGAAATATAATCTTATTGATGATTTGGCCCAGAAGGAAAATAGAAAGTTGCAGGTAATCGTGAATATCAGGAAACAAACAGTATAAATTCCCAACAGTCGTCTCGGGAGTCTTATCCTTCGTGGGAGAAGTCACAAAAAATAAAAAAGGGGGCAACGGTTGAAATTTTGCACTATTACAATTTTTTCCGGAGAAATTTTAACACCCTGGAATATTATAATCGTTTAAAATTTAATAATGATTTATCCTTTACATCTTATAATTCAGTGTACCTTCCCTTAGATAGAAATTTCCCACTGCAAATATCATCCAAAACCTTTCCAATTTGAAAAACTTAAATTCTTTGTCTATGTTTTTAAAATATTCTTTGTTAATTAATAAGATAAGAATATGTATACTCTGGTGAAATTAAATCTAGAAGTTTTGGAGAATTAAGTTGATTGTTTCGACGGATTCAGATATATGTGCGCACAAACTTTCTTTACAAGGATATATATGAATACTCTAACAGGGGGACCCAATAAAAGAGACATTTTTTTCAAATTTTTTCTTTTTTCAAAACACCCTAAGTTACTAAAAAGGTGAAATTAAAGATTTTCTTTAACAAAAACTTCTAAAATTTGACACTTTAAAAAATTCCGATTTATCTTCCTTTTTTTAAATAAAAAACATTTTTACTTTTACATTTTTTACCCCCCTCACCCTTATTTCTTAATAATATTAAGCTGTTTTCAAAAGACTTAATTAGTTTTTGTGTCAAAGGAAAGAATTTTTTGTCGATAATAAAAAAGAATTTTCTTAAAACGATTCTAAAGAAATTATCAAATACATATTTTATACTTAAAGGTTTTTCTGAGATTTTTCAAAGTTTTCAAAAATAGTAATTAAGAAGTTAATTAATTAAAGATTGTATAAAAAATCCCCTGGCGTTAATAAAAAATAAGTTTAAGAAGGGAACATCATTACATACTTTCAATAAGCTGTAGTAATGACCATATAATCCAAACATTTTGGCTTCTTGGATCAGAAAAAATGCAAGATCCACAGATTTGGATTTTAGGAGCAAAATAATAAAACAAAAAACTTTTTACTTTTAGATCACAAATGAGAGTGATTTTAAGTTAAACTAATGAGAGTTTGTAAAACTGGTCCAAACTTTCAGTGGTATTTAGACAACCTTTTTTTAGTAAAAATAAATACATTGAGAAATACAAATGTGCTGGATTCCGAACTGTGCCAAAATCATGAAATTTGTTTTAATGAGAAACTCATAAACAGGCTCAGTGTT